GCTTTAATAAAAGTGTGACTTTTGGTTTTCCATAACTTAAGGACAAGTTATGGACTCCATTAAAACACATTATGATCATGAATTAAACTACCATGAAGGTTACAAGCAATTCCTATCATCATCTAATCTTCATAAGTTCAAGAACATGAATATGAACACTTTTAAGAATAAAAAATTACACTTAAAAACTTGTAATTTTGATAATTGCCATTGTAAATGGATTAGCATAAACATTACACCATCTAAAACAAGTTTTAAAACACCAAAACAGTTTAGAGTAATGTTTCTAGTCCATTTCCAGCAACAAATGTCGAAATTCTGAAAACGGAAGCCTCTACTCGTCGAGTGCAAGAACATACTCGATGAGTAGCTTGCATTTGTTCATGGATCCGTCGAGTCCCCCAATGGACTTGGCGAGTTCATACGAGCAGAAAACAGAAAAACAAATTTTTCAAGCAGTTTGCACAAAAAATCAACAAACAAGCTTGAGCTCTGAAAACAACTGATGGGTTTTGAGCATTCTAACACTTCCTAAGTGTACATGCAACCCTAATAACCTTGGATCTATGTTTTTCTAGTTATCATGAAATGTTGAATTCCAAGGTTATATTCCTATCTACAATACATGGGGAATATTTTTAACTTGAATGAAAGATAGAATAACATACCTTGCTGTTTCTTATGATACTTGAAACCTTGTGAGCCTAGCACCCCAAGTGTGATGCCTCAAATGATTCACACAACACCAAATGCGAAGGAGTAAACTTTGAGAGAATCTTACACTTGCAAAATCGGCTCTAGACCTCTTGTTTCTTAGTGTACCCGTTTTTGGTGGAGGAGATAGTCTTTATATAGTGTTGACACATCTAGGGTTACACCATGTAAACCCTAATGTGTCATGACTCTTCATTTCCATGACCCATGGGTTTGTAACTCCCATGGAGTATCCATGGAGCATCCTATGGGTGGAACCCAACTTGATAATCCATGGAGCCTCTTAGCCCACTGTATAAGATATGGAAGATTTACATAATCTATCCATATATTTAATTAGTTATTTTTTGATCACTTAATTAATTCTTGATCAAACTAATTAAATAATATTATTAATATTTTAGAACTTATAATATATTAATAAACCGTAAGTATTATTTCTCTCATTTTAGTTTATCCAGTTGCATGGTGCCATGCAACCCAAATGGACCATACCGGGTCGGGTCAAGTACATTCCATAAATAGTTATGGACTTAGACACTTTATCCAACATTAAGTCCACCAAGCTTCCATATTTTTCCTACTCTACATACTCATGATCATTTTCTTCATTTACAGCGAGCATCTACCATCTGTATGAACCTGAATCATATAAAGAAGTTGTATTGTATCCTCTTTGGCAGAATGCTATGACTAAGGAACTCACTGCTCTTCATCAGATCCGTATATGGGCTTTGGTTTCCCTTCCTCTTGGGAAACATACGATTCATATTCGTTGGGTGTACAAGATAAAAAGAAAATAGGATGCGTCTATTGAGCAGCACAAGGCCAAACTTATAGCAAAAGGGTATTCTCAACAATACGGTTTTGACTATGAGGATACTTTTGCCCCAGTGGCAAATATGACAACCATAAATACCATGATTGCAGTTGCATCTGTTCGACAGTGGACGATCTTTCAAATAGATGTCAAAAATGCCTTTTTGAATTGTGATCTCCATAAAGAGGTTTATATGCCTCCTCTCCCATGAATTCAACATCAGTCGGGTGAGGTTTTTCGGCTTTGAAAATCTTTGTATGGTCTCAAGCAAGAACCTCGTGCTTGGTTTGAGAAATTCTCCATAGTGATTACCTCTCTTGGATTTGTTCATCATGATTTGGATTTTTTATTAGATGCTCAAGTACAGGACTATTTCTTTTGTCCTTATATATGGATGAGATGATTATTACTAGTGATGACCATGGTGGTATTGAGTTTGTGAATCATGATCTAGCACGTTGATTTGCTACGAAGGACTTAGGCTTGTTGCGTTATTTCTTGGGTATTGAGGTAGCTTGGTATAAGAAAAGTTATCTTCTTTCTCAGACTAAATATATATCTAACTTCTTTACACGGGCATGCCTTTCTAACTATCGAATTGTAGATACTCCTCTTGAAACCGATGCACGATACTCTCCTACTGATGATGTTCCTTTATCCAATCTGAATCTTTATCGGACTATCGTGGGAAGTTTGGTTTATCTCACAGTTACTCGTCCGGATATTGCTCATGTTGTTCATGTTGTCAGTCAGTTTATTACTACTACTACTTACGTTCATTGGGGTGCCGTACTCTGTATTTTGAGATACGTCAGACCCTCTTGTTTCCCTCGATGACATCTCTTAAGATATGTGCCTATAGTGATGTTGATTGGGATGGTGACTATCATGATCGAAAATCCACCGCTGGATTTTGCGTGTTTCTTGGAGAGTCTGTCATTTCTTGGAAGAGCAAGAAACAAGATGTTGTTTCTAGATCTTCCACGGAGGCTGAGTATCGTGCTATGGCTATGAACTACATGTGTGATTATCTGGTTACGGTTGCTTCTTCTATACATGGGGGTCCACATTTATTCATCTACTTCCCTGCATTGTGATAACAAAAGTGCGATACAGATTGCGAAGAATTTTGTTTCCATGAGTGGACGAAGTACATTGAGATTGATTTTCACTTCACCCGTCGTCACTTAAAGCTCATGACCCTATATTTTCCATTTGTTTAGTATACATTGTAGCTTGTTGATATTTTTTCGAAGGCTTTGTCAGCGTCTCGATTTCGGTTTTTTTGTGACAAGTTTTCAATGCTTATTATTGTGGTATTGTGAGTTTAAGGGGGGATGTTAGCATATATATGTTTATTATAAGCCCACTTCTTTTGGGCTCCTTTTCGTCTCTAGCCCATTAGGGTTAGGGTTACCATAGCTTGCCTTTATATTCCCTATCTTGTTGTTCTTTGCTTTTATGATTTTCAAGAACCTTGTAATCTTTCTCTTTCATTAATCAATATGATTAATGAAAGAGAAAGATTACAAGGTTTTTGAAAAGCATAAAAGCAAAGAACAACAAGATGGGGAATATAAATGCAAGCTAAGCTAACCCTAACCCTAATGAGCTAAAGACAAAAAGAAGCGCAAAACAAATGGTTTTATAGTAAACATATATATGCTAACAAAGTGTATGGTTAGGCATAAAATATTGTCATTCATAATGATTGCTACATGTTATATGTATTGGTGAGCACATGCTATCATTTTATTAAATACGAGAAATCAAGGATGATCCTAGATCTTTTTAAGAGTTGCTTGATGATATACATGTGATTAACTTTATTAATACTTTAATTTCATCTCATATATATATATATATATATATATATATATATATATATATATATATATATATATATATATATAACAAAAAGAGTATAAAAATGCTCATGTTCAAACTTTGCAACGTGTTCAGATCCTACACAGTCTCCATAAAACCATAATCTCACCTACCACCCTCATCCTAACCTATATATCTGTACACATTCATTTATACATTCAGGCCATCCGTTATACTAACCATTAACCATGTAGTGGTGGATGTCGTATCATCACAACACTCCTTACCACTAATCTATGTGATATTTATCACTAAACACATCACTCCACCTTATTTTTTAATTACATTTAATTCAAAAATATAATGAAAATACAATAAACGACATATTTTAATACTAGTTTTTATTCAATAAAAATCATTACAACAGTTTAAAAAACAACTTAAAATAAAAGAGAAAAAATCCATAAAAATACAAACACAAACAAATTAAATTAGTTTTTTAAACCCTACTTTTAAGCAATCCATTTTGGAGAATCCTTAATTTTTTTAGCCAAGTTTTGAGGTTTGTAACGGTATGTGGTTTATGTCTTCATATTGATGCATGACCACCACAACTGGATCAATATCGCCTTCGTGTCCGTTGTTTATAACAAAATTATAAATTCTGACGAACTCGCGATATTTTACCCTCATATCGCGATACTTGAAACATATTTCGTCAAGATTATGACTTGGAGCACCCATTAAATCATGGAAAACGTTTCAAACTCTTTCCCAAAAATCTCTAGATACACTATTACTTACGTCTTCCGAAACCGACACCCATGTTGCTGCTAACTTCTCTTCTTCCTCTTCCGACCAAGTCCGCATTTTGAGAGCCATGTTTTTTGAAAGATCAAGAAACATAAATGTGTGATTGTGAGAGAAGAATTGTGCGAGATAGAAGAAGATGTATTTTGGTACTTATATAGTAAGTTTATAATGATTTTTTTTATTTAGGTAAAAAAAAAACCTAAACTAGCCATTAGAAGCATTAAATTTCTATTCAATTTCATTGGTCGTTGCTCTCCGTTGTATACACCACGAACGGCCATGAAGACGGAGGACCACAGAACCTCAGGGTGGTGTGCACGGTGGTTTTCCATGGCCACGTATACCACATACTCATTTGTGCTTTGTATACCATTTAGTCTCATATTCCATCCTTAGACAATCAAAAATATCCCCTTCATAATACATCATCAATAGAAATCCACTAAACCTTATATACCTATAAAATTACCATCAAAATAAACTTTTCCACTTTTGATTTGTAAAATTAGAACTTACGTTGTAATTTTTATTTTTTACTTTACAAATTAAATCGAAATGATCAAATAATGTTTATTTCATTGTTCTTCATATATTTCTTATGCTTTTAAAGTTCATATTGGAGATAATTCAACTTTATTCTATATTTTTTCATTTTAATCCTTGAAATTTATGGAGAACGTGTTTTGAGAATGAAATGATCAAATAATGTTTATTTCAATGTTCTTCATATATCAGCAACTTATTTTCTAACATCTTAGAAAAGTTAATAACATCTGTTGAAATTTTATAAATGAAAATAGGAACAAAATTTTATAAATGAAAATAGGTACAATACATATGATGCCTAAAATGAAACATAATTTGCTCATGATTAAGATCATATAAAACTTCTTGAACAATGAACACACATATATAAACCTAAAGGAACTTAGACAATACACAATACTACAATACTACAATTGAGTAAAGGAAATCGAAAATAACTGTTTTAATACCTTTGAAACGATAAAGGCATAGTGAAATGGTTGACATGTCCATAGAGGCATAAGACTAACTGCAAGTGAAATACGTACAAACAGGGTGCTAAAGACTTGCAATTAGAGATTTTACTGACTCTTCTGCGATTATGTAATACATTTTTTCTGTAAAATGAACAGCATCCCAGTAAATGTATTTTGAACGATTCGTACATGTACTCAATCCCTTTAAGCTTGCCCCAAATTGTGTCAACCCATCTCCACAACAACCCTTTTTAGATTCTGTAAAACCTGCCAATTTCATTTTAACCAAAAAACATTTTTCAAAAATTTCTCATGGTTTTATGTGTTAAACTCAAAAATACTTTTTTTTCAATAATTTTTAGGATGAAACTACATGTTAACTTTTACATGTTATTTGTGCTAAAATTTATAGAATAATAATTGATAGTTATTTACTTAGAAATTTATGAGTTTGTTATTACTTAATTTACGTAGAAAATCTTCACATTAGTAGTTTCTTAGCTAGTCGGTATGTAAATAGATGTTATATTCGAATCCAACAACTTTATGAATAAGTCCAACCAAAGTGTTTCATCAATTTTCTAGACAAAAATGAAAATTTTCATTCATGATTCGGAATATATATATATATATATATATATATATATATATATATATATATATATATATATATATATATATATATATATATATATATATATATATATATATATATATATATATATCAAAAGATCAATATTTGCAGAAGATGAAGATACTTACCATATTTTGTTGGGTTTTGTAAGGTGTTTTGAATGACACCATAAATGTCAACAAAAATAGTACTCATGTGCAATGTTTTTTCGAGGGTAAACAACTTTGCCTTCAACAAAATGTTAAAAGAGAGAGCCACTTGGTTCATTTCCTTGTTGCAATCAACATTATTCGTTAATGTCTTTATCATAGGCATACATCCGAATGGCTCCATCCCGACAACCATCAATCTGGTTACTCCTAGTGAATGCATTTCCTATAATTTCCAAAAACAAATAATATATGGATACGGTTTTTGTATTTTTAAAGCATGTTTTTCTGAACAACAATCGTATAGCGGGATTGTGAAAAATACAAAATGTATCCTAAGATCCTGGTTTTTGTCACGGATTACGATCGAAAAAACATACCTTATGTACACTTAAAATTTATTAAGGTTTTTTAATTCTCTAGTTATTTATAATTACAAGAAAAAAATTTCACATAATGATATAAGGAAAAATATTGATAACATGTGAGCAAATCTTGACTACATGATTTTCAACATCCACAAGACCAGAAAATCATTGTTTCTTTTTTGGTTTATTTAAGTTTTAACCTTTTATTTTATTAGAAAAAAGGGACACAAAACTGTAGATATCAAATTTAATGAATTCTTACCCTTATGTAACTTTCCATACAATTGATCAAGAAACCTTGGTATTGGGCGATGGTAAACATCTGGGATCGAGTAGGATCAATGTAGTAATTTTGTAAAAAGTCGTTTGTGCCCATGCTCAAAATGAACACAGCATTCTCTACAATCCTATGCGAAGATTCTTCTCCCACAAGCTTCCCTAAACGAGTCTTATACTCCTTAAAGTAGTCCAATTGTTTTCGAAGAGACATAACATTCTGCATTTAAAAAGAAAACAATAATTAGTTTATGAATCAATTTGTTATTAAGTAGTAATTTATTGTTTTAAATGACACATGTTAATGTTAATTTATTTAAGATTAACAATCATGGACATAATAATTTTAACCTCTAAAGCCAATAACAAAGATTAATTGGAACAATAATCTTGTAAAATGATGATCAAACTTGTGTTTGTTTGCACCCACGATTCGTAGTTGCTTTTATAAAATATATTATATACCACTAGTAGTTTGTTTGCACCCAAGATTCTAGTTGCCTTTATGAAATATTTTTCATACTACACGTAATATCTAGCAATAATTAATTGCATCATTCCACATAATTAAGACGTCAGAGATCAAGATTTTAATATATGGTTTAATGAGATTTGAATGAGGTGACATCCTTAACTGACATTCAACAGATTAAGCTCTACAATTTATTTTATGATGTCATGTTGGCTTTCAATGGGTATGAAGTGCGACGATCATTGAACTCTTCAGAGGTAAAAAGGAATTTTTTTAATTCTTAAATATATGTTCATTGAACTTTATAGACTTTAATTCATTACCTAAATTTTTTTATAGAATTGTATGGATAATAGAATCATGATATCTCAGATCATTGCACTTTAAAGAGTCCAATTTATTATGGATGGACTCAGATATTTTTATTTAATCATTTAATTTACACTTATCTATAAATCGAAGTTTTATAACATTTCATCAAATATTCTACTTAATGGTTGATCAAATACTAAAAACACTCTAATTGTGGATGCCTTTATATTTTTTATTTAATTGTATGATTTACATTTATCTATCAAATTGAAGGTTTATAACGTTTAATCAAATATTCTACTTAACCGTGGATCAAACACTATAGGGTGATCAATTACCAACTGTCGAGTATATTAACATATTGACCGACCATGATGAGGTCTCCTATTTAAGACACACTGCAAGCATGTCCTCTATAACATCAAACTTGGTTAGAATTTAAAAGTTTCAGCTTTAATAAAGCAATCAAGAAAATTTATGTAATAATTAAATTAAAAGACTCCGAGTAATTTTAATTTAGTATGGTGACAATTTGACTATTTTTTCTGTTTAACTAGGTTTGTTTCTTCTACCAATTGAACTTGTTCTAATACCAAATTTAACCGAAATCAACACATATATCCATCAATAAATGAAATCTCTACATTTAGGTTTATATGTCACTTACAGTGATATTATCCGCTGTGAAATCATCATAACCAGAACCACCTGATGCAAAACTAACACCATGCAACAAGTCCTCATCCATCAGATTTTGATCCAAATAAGCTTTGATTGTGTTTGTATAACCTAAAGCCTCAGCTGCACATACACAAACAAACAACTAATCATGAGCAACAAAGTCAATTACTTACAATACAACACTTATAAAAGTATGAGCTAGCTAGGCACCTTCCACAAGTATCGATCCTACAAGTATTCATGCATGAAAACTATAATAAAAGTTACCAATCATATCTGTGGAGAGTCTGCCATTAGTGAACCTTCCAGTTGGCTTGGAATGACCAAAATCTTTCCCATAAGGCAGAAAGTTTCCTTTGTGCCATGTATTTGGAAGATTGTTGTTGTTACCAGGATCAACACTCGAATCACCAAATACCAGAATGCACGTAACATTGTACTTGGCTGCAAGAACCCTAAGCTTATGAGCACTGTGCACGACACGTGCATTGCATGTGACCAGAACCTCGAACAATAGTATCACTATTACTAGGTAAACTGCCACCCATGCTAAATGTTTCATTTTCAACCGATAAAGAATGTTTTGTGGGACAAAATGAACAATATTCTGACTGGCCTCTCAATGGTACGTTTTTATAGACATGCCATTTAATATTGGTAGGTTTGGGCATGACATATGAAGCCAAATCCATTTATTGTAACTTTGAAAACATGTACATAAGCAACATCAATATCGTCACTAGCATCAATATAGTCATATATCTTAATTTTTGTAGTTGGATTCGGATTTGCATTAGCAGTTGGGAAACAGCTATATATATATATATATATATATATATATATATATATATATATATATATATATATATATATATATATATATATATATATATATATATATATATATTCGATAAATTGGCAACGGATCTTATGCAAAAACAATATTGTAAGAGATTAGCAAGTAGCTAATCTGTCACATAAATTTAGATGATTAAACATGGTGGAAATTAGTATCTAAAATCTATTGCTACGATTAATAAAAAAAAAGTATAATTATTTTTGAAATTAATGGTATGCAGTTATTCACTATAAATTAAAGGGAATAAGACTTATTAAGGTAATTTACTTTTCGTTATATTTACATCTGCATAACTATTTTTTTTTTTGTGTACACATGATCTAGGTAATAAATTTGTTGGAATTTTTCACATATGACCATTATGATCTGCTATAACAGGTTAAATCCTAAATGTGAACGCTTTCAATAAGTTCGTTACCTACATGTGTACAAAAAAAAAAAATTACTCAAATATAAACAAAACGAAAAGTAAAAATTAAATTATATGAATGGTCCCTATGGTTTGGGGAAATTTTTGTTTTTAGTCCCTAACTTATTTTTTTAACTTGGATGGTCCCTACTGTTTATTTTTGTTACGCGTTTGGTCTCTGTTTTACCTAAAAGACTATTGTACCCTTAATTTATTTTTTAATTACTTTTTCTTATTTATGTATTTATTTTTTACATATTTAAAAAAATAATAAACCACACTAATATGTGTGGTCTATTATTATTTTTTTTTTAAATATGTAAAAAATAAATACATAAATAAGAAATTTAATTAAAAAATAAATTAATAAGGGCACAATAGTCTTTTTAGGTAACACAGGACCAAACGCGCAATAAAAATAAACAGTAGGGATCATCCTAGTTAAAAAAAAAATAAGTTAGAGACCGAAAAAAAAAAAAGAATTCCCCCAAACCACGGGGACCATTCGTGTAATTTAATTTTTACTTGTTGTTTTTTTCATATTTGGGTAACTATTTTTTTTGTACACATCTAGGTAACGAACTTGTTGAAAACGTTCACATCTAGGATTTAAACTGCTATAGCATGTCATAATGATCATATGTGAACACTTCCAACAAGTTTGTTACCTAGACTTTCCATCTTGATGTTTACATGCCTATAGGGCTTGAGTAGTTCATACTTTTCAACTTGAAGAAAACATAACTTAGGGAGAGTTACTGGAGGAGGTGGAGGAAGAGTTGGATAAGCATGAGTTCTAGTTCCATCATTGCTTGAAGAAGGGAACATTCTTTCACCTTGATCAACATGTGGAAGATCATCTTCAGATAGAGAAGGAAAAACATTTCCAGAAGCACGAGGAAGACCATTGATGTCTGAACTTGACATCTATAAAGGGAAAAAAGAGAATTCAAGTTAGTTGATTTTAATCCATAATTATTAATCCAAAATTTTAAATTATGGTTCGGATCCATATTTTCGATTCGAATTCTAAAGAAGGACGTCGTAATCAAATTTGAATATACTTTATGTAGGTAAATAATTTACCAATTTCAATCTTATGAAACTCCTAGATCTTTTGAGATTCATTGAACTATTCAATGACATGTTTAATCTCGGTTATGCTCTCACTTTGTTACTAGGATGTCGAGGATCACAAACAAGATGTGAATAACCATACAAATTAGTCTGGTACTCTCGATGTCATTTATCATCTGAAATTAATGTGTCGGTTAACCACACACGCTCCATTAATTCAATGATAATTTACGAGACACCCATTGCCACCAATATTAGTCTCATATTAGTGTGTCTATTAACCACACACGCTCCATTAATGACAAATAAGGTACTATGTGCAATTTCATGGGTTAGCATCAAATTCATATTTTTCCTAAAGTAACTAAGAATGAGAGTTTCGAAAATGGTTTAGTTACTTTATATCACATTATACATATTAATGGTATTTAATTGTCCTATCGAACATGTTCGACTAACGACCCTGCACCATACAAGAGAGCGGTTGGTAAGATTGGATACCCAATGATTGTCATTTTAAAAGCCGCTTCCTTAAACTTCCATTATAATATGGCTTCGTGAATAAGGTGTACAAGCGATTCGACTGACATTTCTTATATGTATAATATATATTAAAATATTAATTATATATATAGTATAAGGTGAATTTTAAACATTTTAAAAATTCCAAGGGTTTAATCTTTTAATAAATTAAATTTTTAATTTAATTAAATATAAACCATATATGGATTTATTAGTTATCCTTTAATTAACCATTTAAGTACATTATTAACAAAATCCATAAGAATGTAATTTAGGATTTACATTTTAAATTTCAATAACAAAATTTTTTAATTTAACTTTCCAACAACCCTAAAATTAACTTTAATTAATAATTAAATTAATATATTTAATAACTGATTATGGATATATTAATTGTCCTTCAATTAAATAATTAATTAAATTATTAACCATATCCATAAGGATAATTATAATTAAATAAAATCAACATTATCCAATTCATAAATATCTCATAACATTTAGGCCATATTTAATTATCTAACATTACCAAAATTTAGATTATGGCAGATTTAATAAAAGATAATTAACAAATATTAACCAAATAAATCAGGTTAGGCAAGAAAATCTGAAATCAAGATCTGACACACAAACTTGCCGAGTTGGAGGACCAACTCGCCGAGTTGCAGTCGAACACGTTGAGTCTGAAGAAACAACTCGACGAGTTCGAAGAACAGGATGACGATTCTGTTTTCTCCTCCTTGTTCAAGTTCATATTAGTATCAATTCAATAGAAAACTAAACCTAGGCTTTGATACCACTAAAGGGTTTTGAGCAAAACATACAATCTGATGTGTGTATGCAACTCTAATTGAAGATCTATGTTTTCTCTAATTTGACATACAATAATGAAAAACAAAGCATAAACCCTATATCTATGGATAATAGCTAGAAATACACATAATAGGATTGTAATACATACCTTTAAGATTGTTATTGTAAACAATCTTAAATCATTGCTTGAAAGACCTTTGGTAGTAAGCGCCACAAGTGTCACACCTATAATGGTTCACAAACAAACTTAAGCAAGCAAGGAATACTATAGAGAGAGTAATTGAAGAGAAATTTCGGACCTTAGGCTCTTGTAAGAGTCATGGCCAAAATTTAACCCTTAGGAGGGTTTATATAGGTGTTAGGAAGATATTGGATACGATAGGTATATCCAAGAAAACCCTAATCCCTTAACTTCCTCCCTAAGGCATCTAAGGCACCCTTAGAGCCCAAGGAAACCCTAAGAGCATCAAGATTTCGTACCCCCCCCCCCCTCTTAAGGGAGGTTCTAGAATAGTCTAATGCTCAACTATTGAACATTGTCACCTTTAGTCCCTACAGTTTGAATTAATTCCTTTAATCCCAAAATTAATTCTAAATTAATTTCTGATTAAATATTAATTAAACAATAATATTTCTAATTAATGTATTATTTCATAATACATTAATAAATCATTTATTTTGATTTCTAGTTAATTTATAACCAATTAATAAATTAATAAATCATTCTTCTCTGTCTAACATTCATCTTATCTAATTGCCAGGTTTGAAGGCAACCCAAAAGGGTTGTGCTACTCTCAACTCAAGTTTATACCAATTATAGTTATGGGATTAGACACCTAATCCAACACCATAAATAGCCATCACCTCAGGACAGAACGTGCCCAAGCGCTCATCTAAAATCTCCAGAATCCCCTCCTTAACCCAACCAAAGATCACAAGAGTCTTCTCCAAAATACCGTGAGTAATCTCTAATGAGATGAACTCCCACATCTGCTCGCTAATAGGCTCAGTACCTGCACTTTAGTCGGGACCAGAACCAAAACATCCTTCCTGAGTGCTCATCACTAAATTGAAATACAACATGCAAGTAATCAGAACATACCCAAGAATCCTCATTCCACAAGCTTCCTATATTCTCCGAGACTCTCCCTGATTCGAGTATGGATCTTGTGCTTTTAGTAGTATGTGCCCAATACTACCTTCCACACCTATCCATACTTTCCTTAAGAATCATCATGAATCCTCCAAGTCACCTTCTCAAAATGATGCACCCTTGGTCGCTAAACAACACAAGTAACCCACTGAAGCACTTCCTAGGCTCTACTAGGTTCCCGACCTCACCTTGTGATCAACTGCTGAAAGATTCTCACTGATGTCAACAACCTGCTTCATGAATATAGTCATATGCAACAGAGGTCAGATAATCCTTCGAGTAAAAGACTCAACCCTAAAATAACTAAACTTAGATAAGAGTTGCACAATAGGTTTAAATCTATCACTCTAAGATTATTTAACTTGTATAACATATGACTAAACATATTCACTTAGTAGTTGATCCACATCACTAAGAGTCCCAAAAAGCACAAAGCAAGCAACATTCGGGAAACATAAAATCTAACTAGCATATCCCTACTCAATCCATTCTATCCACTGATCTGAAAATCATACTAGCATGCAATTCTAAAAGCTCATACAATCAGGCATATAAAGTCATCTCTCCTATCATAGAATCCTAAACAGATCCTTAGCCCTAATCTAGCATGCAATTCTCATAAACATATCATAATAAACATGTATTGCTATTCTAGGAACCACTTACTTGAGCTCGGTCAATCGCATGCATCACACTAAATCATTTATTTTATGAAACTTTTCACCAAACCATCAGTTCGAGTCTAGGCATACCCGAGAG